TAACGCTGGACATTGCTGCGAGCCTCACGCTCTGGGCCACGTCACCTCGCCTCCCGTCATTAATGTGGCCTATGTTCATGTCTGTCTGAAGGATGAAACGCTGCGCCAGTCAACTTACACAGGATGGCAAACCTGAACGTTTGTTTGCTTGCAGGTGACCGCCTCCGTGCTGCTCAGTTCAGGGGAAAGCTTGAACACATGCACGCTAAAGCACAAAAATTACACCGACAAACCCAAGCCATTTTTCTCTTAAGTCTGTGCCTTTAAAGCTAGTCTTGAGCAGGAAACAAACAAATAGGTAAAGAATCAAAAGTCAGCCATAGAAAAATGATACTGAACAAACTGGGAAACGTGAGACTGAAGAAATAGCCCATTGCTTAGAAGAGATGATAAAGGAAAACATACCTATATTACTAAAGAAAATAAGGAAATGAACAGCCTGCAAAGTCATGAGTTCATAAAATCAGCTGTATATGCATTAGAAATAATGTCACCTGAAGGCAACTGATTGTCCTGGTTTCAGCAGGGATAGAGTTAATTTCCTTCCTAGCAGCTGGTACAGTGCTGTGTTTTGGATTTAGGATGAGAACAATGTTGATAACACACCGATGTTTTAGTTGTTGCTAGGTAATGCTTACACTAGCCAAGGACTTTTCAGCTTCCCATGCTCTACCGACTGAGAAGGCTGGAGGTGCACAAGAAGCTGGGAGGGGGCACAGCCAAACTGGCCAAAGGGACATTCCATACCATGTGACGTCATGCTCAGTACATAAACTGGGGAAAGCTGGCCGGGGGGGCCGCTGCTCGGGGACTGGCTGGGCATCGGTCGGCGGGTGGTGAGCAATTGCACTGTGCATCACTTGCTTTGTATATTATTATTACATTATTATTATTATTGTTGTTATTATTTTATTTCCATTATTAAACTGTTTTTATCTCAACCCATGAGTTTTTTCTCACTTCTACTCTCCCAATTCTCTCCCCCATCCCACCGGGGACTCAGGGGGGAGTGAGCGAGCGGCTGTGTGGTGCTCAGTTGCCGACTGAGGTTAAACCACGACACTGATGGGAGCGGGAAAGTGAGGGTACCACTATACAGGTTCAAATTAAAGGAAGTGTGAAATGCATCCACAGGACTGTGCAAATAACAAGATAAATGACAAGCACTGCCCTGAAAGATAGGGGTGAAAAGGGGCTGACGTGGCAGACTACCAAGAAGATAACGCAACACACCGTTTTCCTCCAAGACACCTGTGTGACAAGGAACGGGAGCCTTCTGTGCCAGTCGGCTCCAAACAAACCCTGCAGAAGAAGGACTTTGCCCCCAACCAGGGCGGGAAGGCAGCGCTGCCAGGGCACGGGGAAGCACAGCAGAATCAGGAGGGCTGAGGGGAAACTGAAGTACTTTGTTAATTCCCTGGGGAAGGTGAGTTGAGTACAAAGAAGCTGAAGCCAGTCCCGGTTTGGCTGCTGCTCAGATGTGCTGAAGGATGCTGGGCCAAGTCCCAGTGTTGACTGTGTCTCTAATTACTTCTGACAGCAATGTAAAAGCTAGCTGAGATATGCTGTCAGATAGGGCATCATCTCATCACTCAGACGAGTAGACTATCCACAACTTTTGAATCCTGTCCCAAATATAAGCAGCGTAAGTTTCTAAGGGTAATGGTGAGAGTTCTAACAAGTCATTTATAAAAAGTCTTTTCCCCTTGGGGAGTGGCAACCTTGCTCCACAAGTTATAGAGAATTTGAAAAGAAACATAATCAAATTTCAGGGGCGAATGAGTTAACAGTTTTGGCAGCAGATATTTTTGTTGCAACTGGCTGTCCTTGCACAAACCACTTTAAGGAGAATATATTGGTGGAAAGCCATAAAGGTTATTTACATAGATGGAGTTTCATCATCTCCCACTCCAAAACAGGCTGGGTTGGTTATGCTGATCTAATGTTTTCTTTATCATGGTTTATGTGAGGCTAGGAGCGCATGTTAGACTGCGTTTTAGTTTGCTCTTTTACTATGCTGATGGCAGTCCTTTGAGACACTAGTTTAAATTATGCAGCATGTGCAGTATTATAAAAACAGTTTCAGAAATCTAATATTCAAACAAAACCAAAATATCGCTTGTACCATGAGCTTTGTAATGCCCCAACTTAGCAAGAACAATTTTCTGCAGGAAATAGCCCCCGACCTTTTTAGGAATATACCTTGTAAAATATTCTGAGAAGATCTTCAGTTTTCCTTTCCAACAAGTGGAAGAGAACAACTTTCAGGTTTGCTCCCAGGAGCTAATTTTTCCCTTTCTTTGAGAGCCATTCTCAGTCCCTTCCTGGTATGAAAAAGGTAGTTTGGCATTAGGTTAGTTCAGTAGTTTGAATTCACTGTTCTGTTCAGGATAGAAACTAAGATACGTTTTTAAAAGTTAGCCTAAGTCTTAAAGAATGTCTACAAGAGCTTTTCAGTTTTGTTTGGCAAACAATTTCAAATTCAACGTTGCATCATTTTCTGCTGTTAAAACAAACCAACTCTTGCAACATGGCCTGCATCCGAACTGAAATCAAGTACATATCTTTTACTGATAGGACATAGCCTCTGTTTAAAGAAAGATGGGGTTTAATCTTAAAGACAACCTCATCAAAGCAGCTGATACAGGATCTGTGTGGAATTATTCTTTTACAGAATTGCTTGCACTAGCTGGCATTCTTTTCTTCAGATGAGAGACAAACGTTTGGTTTTGGTAGTTACTGACTACTTTCCAGTTACTTTTCCTTTTATTTCAATTTAAAAAAGGCAGATGTTCCTTATTAAAGTTCAAAGAATTCCTGTCTGAGTCTAAAGAGAAACTTATGGTGATTTTTGTTATCAAAACCTGTACATGCCCATACCCTGACGTTCTAGAAAAGGAGGATATGTTTGTCATTATTACACTGTTTTGAAAATAAAGCCAAAGGATTTCTCTCATTGCTGTTTAAGAAATTAAATCCCTATCACGCAAACCTGGTACCAGACAATAATTTCCACCCGGGGAAAGTTTTAAACAAAGATACCTTACTGTTTTCCAGAGCTGTCAGTCTTGTCAGTACTGTAACCCAGGGTGAGGTACAGGCACAGCCTGAACTTAAAAACGGAGTTTCCCAATTCTGCTGAGCCCTGCTCTGACATAGGGCATCTGCAGCTTGAGCAGGTCACCTGGACTCTTCCCTTTCACTACCTGCAAACAGTGATTATCCTGTTTATATACAGACTGCAAAGCCTCAGCTTGCCTCTCAGCCTGCGAAGCGCCTGTGGAAATAGCATCACTGTAATCACCCGGAGTATCGACAAGCTTGAACTTACAGATATCCTTCTGTCAGACCTGAGGGAGGCACAGCCCGGGCGCTGCAGGCGGCGAGGCGGGCAGATGAGGGCAGGCCGCGGGGCAGGCCCGGCGAGGCCAGAAAGCCTTCCCGTGGCAGTCGAGGTCCCGCTGCCGCTGAAGGGGTAGGCCCTGACGGCTCTGGGTGCGTGCAATACAGAAGTCCCAGTAAACACCCCCTCGCAGCCCACCCCCATCGCAAAGCCCTGCCGCCGCCCGAGAGGAAACCTCCCCCGGCGACAGCCAGCCACGCAGCTCCGTCCCG